AGAGATCTCCCCCCTCGTGGCTTTTCTTGGAGGCCAACAGCATTCCCGTACTTCTGGGAACTGCTTCAGCTCTTCCTTCGACGACTACAATGGAAACTGGTGGGATACAACCCACATGGTCAGTAACGTGATCCAGCCACATAAGTGCTGGGTGTGGGCAGGTTTAACAGCCTGGTTAGGAATGTGTGTATGTTGGGGTACATCCACTTCTAGGGGCCAATGACATTTGTACCTCACCTCTGAACTTTTACCAACAATGAACCTAAGGCGTTCATCCTTCTTTCTTGTTATGGAAGATCATGTCTTCCAAATGCCCTGCTTTGGATCTGGTAGCCTTGCAGAAGAAACACAGTTCCAAACCTACTCCTGTGCTCACAATTTTCTCTACCATTTCACTCTGCATGTTGAATGGAAGTGGTGGCTCTCTCCGTGTTTAAGCCAACAACCAGGAAGAGGTAATATAGTTTTCTAAGAAGTCGGAAAATCTGCTGTAGTTAGGGAAAGAAGATGAACAGGAAGGAGAAATGAATTGTTTTCTGACATCATGGTTCTGCGTGGATTCTGTGCATGGGAGGTCACTGGTGGCTGCTGGCCCAGCATATGGTGCTAGTCCACACCTGGTGACCAACCTTTCTCTTTCACAGTTTTCTTGGAGGGATGAAGACAGGAGAAGAAAAGTTTTCTGAGATTATTCCTCAAAGGATTTATGCCCTATCACAAAAGGTGAGCACTACACTTCTTCGGGAGTCTACATTATGTATTTGGGAGAGGTTTTAGCAGCACAGATTAGAGAAAATATTTATTGACTAATAATTTTCCCACTGTGCTCTTTTATTTATTTTTTGCATAGTGTCCTAAAATATTTGAGCTTGAGCAGATTTTAATCGTTCATTTTTCTATCATTTCCAAGCAGAGGAAACCAGGAAAAATTAAAATGTGGGATTCCTTTGTTTTCTCATAGCAAGATTAATACACTAGTTTCAGGAAAGACATAGACAACAAGAGTATTCGGGCATCTTTGTTAATGCCCAGGATTTTAATCTGGTCCTGAGTTGTGTGTGTGTGTAGCTATTTCTTCTGATTTTGGTAGTAAAATCCTTTTATAGACTTAGGGTGTACTGGGAGAATTGTAGATAAAAGTACATTTTATTGCTATGTAGAGAACTCTAGGAATCAAAGCTAATGCCTTGTACTTGCTTGTAAAGACATTTTGGAAGGCATCGCAGGGACTTGGGAGTAGGAGAATGGAGTCAAAGGAGTAGGGTGGTATCCAATGGATTTTCCACTTTTGCTCCTTTGCTTAACCCTACCTTTTGTGCAGTCTCCACTGAACTGGTGGTTTGGTGGTTTGGAGCCTTGCTGCTTGTCTTTGTCCTTTTAGGAAGAGGCTCTGAATGTAGCTTAGTGGCTGGTCTGCATTGAATACAGTACTTGGTAGGGTAGGTGTGATTCAAGGAGAGTTAGAGGCATGGAGCTTGGAGAGAAGGCCTGATCTTGGTCAGCTCATGTGAGACTGAAAAGAAGAGGTATTAATTTGATTGTAGAGAGTATAGAAAACCTTGTTCAGACCAAAGCAGGACATTCAGCCTTCAGTTCTCTTTGGAGCATAGTATTACTGATGGTGCTGTGTATGTAAGTGTTACAGCTCTGAAGAGAAAGGTATCCTGGTCATTGGAAGCCAGGAGATACCTACAGCTCTGTTCTGGTGAGGAATGGTTTCCCTGCAGGAATGGAGCATTTCTACTCCTCTTCAAGAGAGTCTTTACTTCAATGCTCCACTCTACTAAGGGGGTTTCATGCAGAAATATAGAAGTTCTGCTCCTGCCCCAGCAAAAGTTGTTACTTTTCCACCCAGTTCCACTCCTGCAAAAGAAGGTCATTACCCAAACCTCGTTTAAAACATTTATTGGGAAGGAGGAATCCAGGAGAGCAGCTGCCTCTGCCAGGGTGGAAAAAGGCAGCCCATAACCAAATAGGGAATAGGTACAAGGCTTATATAGGGCTTCTTAGGGGCAGAGTTTTTCCAGGGTGAAGATTTTCAGGGTGGGAATTTGTTGGATTTCAATCTCTGAGCTTGAACAAGCTCAGAGATTGGCTGGATTTCATGCTCAGGGATTGGTTGGTTTTCATACTGAGTTGGTCAGGGGCAATGGGAGTTTCTTTCACTCTGATTTCAGGGCCAAAGTATGCTTCTGTGGCTCTGATTTCAGGGTCAGGGTGTGTTTCTTTGACTCTGGTTTTAGTGTCGGGGTGTATTTCTTTGGCTGGTTCTTTTACCATATTGGGGTATAGTCCCAAGGAAACGAGTGAGTAGCAGTAAGGGCAGTGAGGTCCAGTCTTAGCTGGTGTGGGAGGAATGTAAGCACTGAGAATAGGTTGTGGGCAAGGCCTAGTAAGCAGACCCAGATTGGCTCTTAGAAGAAATCTGCCTTAAGGCAAATAATTTCTGCTTATAGAACTGACCTCTACCCCAGACTGCTGAACACAGACTTCTTAGCCATTCTCCTTGGTTTTATCTATTTGTTTGTAAGAATCCTTGGGTGAAAACTGGGAAAGTGGCCTTCACATGCCAGCCCATCACAATCTCCTTGACAGTAGGGTGGGAAGGACTCTTCTCAGCAGCTCGGTGCTTATTCTCCAGAGCAGCGGTAGCAGGGTGCGGCTCTTCCCCATTTATGTCTGACACTAGTACTGACGGAGGAGACACTGGTGCCTGGCCTCCAGACCTGCCACTCTTTGTTCTTGAACGATGGAGAACTTCTTCATTTCTGGGGCTACACAGTTGCCTTATGCCTAGAGGTTTTGTCTTCAATCTCTCTTTGTTTGATGGGTCGAAGTTACCAGGCTGTAGCTGGGATGGGAGCAGAACTTCACCTGAAACAAGAGACCAAGCTATTCTGTATTTCTTTCTGGGCCCAACGTCTCTTGGATCCAGAAGTGGAACTGAAGATCTCTTTAGGGGAAATCATTAGCTGAAGGATCAAAGCCTTGGGTTGGACGCTAATATCTCTTGCCAACTTGGTGTTTGCATGGAGATGGCTCTTAACCGCTGCCCGCTATGATGCTGAATCAGCATAGGCCCAGAGTCTTATGTCTGGGCCTTTGTCTATCCTTCCAAAATAAGCCTTTTAGGAGCTGTCTGCACCAGATGTTCGCTCTGTTGGGTTGCCAGGAGGGTAAATTCTTTTTGTGACCCCACTTAATCCTAGTCCTCAAATCCCAAGTGTCTGATCCAATGATGCTACGAGTTTCTGTGTAGATAAGAAAAGAAAATGCCTTAGTGAAAAGCTTATTCATGGCTGGCTATACCTCAGGAGGAAAATTGGGGTATCCTAACTGCCAAATAGTTGGATAGATTGGGAGCCAGTCATTGAATTATTCTCTTCTGCAGTCAGTTGCTTTCAGTTAGGGATTCTGAAGCACTGGTGAGCAGTGATCACCTTGGGATCATTGACTAGGAAATTCAACCAAAACACTACGAAGTCATCTGGCAGCCCTGGCCTTGGCTGTCTACTGTTATCAATTTAACTACATGGTAACTAGGATTATTGTGCCTGTTGTTCTTTTGGGTCTTGAAAATGTATCCCACCAATCCCATCTCTCATGGGCATTAGACTTCCTGGATCTGTTTTAGGAAGTAGAGCAAGCTCACTCTCCACCCACATTCACACCATTCAGGTTCTTTTTCCTTGCTTTCCCCAATCTTATCTAACAACATACTTCCTGAGGAACACAGGTGAGTTTGGGAGCAGGCCAGAGCACATACAGATGAAATTCATCAAACTGACACTGCGCATCCAGCAGGGGCATCAGTGTTCATGAGGAAGATTGGTCTGTAATTTTCTTTCTTTGTTGAATATTTATGTGGTTTGCGTATCAGGGTGACTGTGGCCTCATAAAAAGACTTTGGCAATGCTTCTTCTGTTTCTAATTTGTGGAACAATTTGAGTGTTGATATTAGCTCTTCTTTGAAAGTGTGGTAGAATTCTTGGCTGGAACCATGTGGGGGCTGGGAGACTTTTAATGATGGCTTCTATTTCCTTGGGGTCGTTACTCTATTTAAGTTGTTCTTCTGATATTGGTAAAGGAGCCAGAGGTGTGGGATGGAATATGAAGCCCAGGGGAGAGATACTATATTTAAAATATTTTTATTGAGTTATTTCCCTCCTTTTCTGCCAAGTGTGCTGAGTTCTATTTCCAACTGTTCTCTGTTGACCAGTCCTCTTTGTGCTAACAGGCTGCATGGGCTTTCAACAGTACTTAACGACTTGTCCAGAGATCTTAGAGTTTAGATGCTATATGAAACACCTATCCGATTTCCCAAGAGTCAATGGGTCAGATTTTATACAGCAGGATCGCATACTTTGTGTTTTATTGATGCTCTTGTGTTTTCTCCAGCTAGCAGCTTAGAGTCACAATGCAAACAAAGCTAAGCTTTCAGGAGGCAATCCCGGTATACTGAAGACTTCTCGATAGGACCGTTTTCCCTCTTGCCCCTGCTGTGTTCACCTCAGTGTCTAATGACTACGGGTGTGACATGTCACTTACCTTTCCTCTGACAAGCAGGGCCAATGGTAAATCTAAGTCTCAAGCTTTCATATTGTTCTGCTAATTCATATAATTCTGCTAATGTGGAGCTAAGTGACCTCTGCACCTTAGACCAAGAGAACAGTGAGTGCAGTGCCCACGGCATAGCACAGTATGAACCAGGTTGGCCACTGCAGGCACCACAGCTCCACAGACATGAGTGTGAGGACCTGCCAGCGCACAGAGAATATCCTGTCCTATTTGTGATTGGGGAGTACTAAGATGTCCCGAGCATGAGATGAGTGCCCCAGCTCTCCTATCAGGTTAACCGGCTCCTTGGTGCCTGGCTCATAAAGGGGGAAAAAAGCATACTTTTCATGGTGCGGCTCACAGGACACAGGTGAGAAGCATTTTGATCAGAGCATCTTCGGCATGGTAGAGCATCCAGACAATAAGAACGTAGGCCTTGCCAGTCTGCCTCTCCTTTTTATTTGTCACTGTTAGCTTAGTTTTCAAAGTTTCTGGCTAAAGACAGCGTTGAAAGTCTGACGATTTCCTGTATCTCTAATTTTTCAAAACCCCATTCATGAGAAAAGTATCTGTTTGTTTGCAGGCAGCAAACACATGAAGATCTGTTAAGTATCATTCTCCTGCCTTCGTCAAAAGCATACTTTTAATCACATTTAATCACTAACTTCCTAACAGAAGTCAAAGGCAATAAAATATTTTTTTTGTCAAAAATACTGTTTTGTTTGACATATTATGTGAACTTTAAAATGTATATATTAGGTCAAACTCTCAAAACAGAAGTGCCTTTCCCACCTCATGAAGGTCACAGAGTATGCACACAGGCTACCCTGAGGGCAAACCCGTGCACCAGCCTTCCCTCTCGCTCCTTCCATTCCAGAGGACCAACCACGCTTGGGGCTGTGTGGCTTAAAGAGAAAAATGGAAGCTATCATTAAAAAAGTGCTACAAGATGTGTCTATGCGGAGAACTGGAGTGAGTCCTTAAGGCAAGTGGTGTGTGACCGTCTGTAGGCTGTCCCGGGCAGTACCGCCGAATCCTGTACGCGTGGCTCCATCTGGGAAAGTACTTAACTTGCACTTTTCTTCGGGTTTGGTTTTTTGGGGGCGCTTCTAGCTTTGACGTTCTTCTTAGGACTGGCAGCTTTGGGAATGGGCGGCTTTCCCTTCGGCTTGGGAGGGTTACTGCGACTGGTGCGGCTGGCTGTTCGTTTCTTGTCCTGCGCTGTCCTCTGCTGTTCACGGAGCCTCTCTTCCCACTGCTGGGAGGCAATTTGTAGATGTAACTATCAAATACACGTCACCCTTTTATGCAGCTTAACTGATACAAGCACGGGCCCAGGAGGTTTTGCATTAGCGCGGTTACACTGTAATATTGCGGTCTTTACTGTGCATTACCCTAGGTGGGGCACTTAGGCTTCCATGACTGGAAAGAGCTCCGAATGCAAAGAAGTCTAAATACTCAACTCACTTCTTTAAAACTCACACAGGTCTTCTCGGCATCATTGTCACAACCAGTAAACAAGTACGTAGATAATATTTGCAGAGGTCCATAGCCACTGAAAGTCCTTGCCAGAATTCAAAGTCCTCCGTTTCTACAGCTCATGCCCCTACCTGTGTGCTTCCAATGGCCAGCCTCAGAATATAGACTCTCTGTACAACAAAGCATTCTAAAATAGTGCTGCTGTCATGAAGAAGCAGAAATTTATGTAGCCTTCTGGCAAAGCCGGTTATTTACTGCATTGTAGGAATTACTATATCCAAAAGAAAACGAAATTAGTGATTCCCCCTCCTGGATCTTCCAAGCCCCCATGTGCACAATGCTGACCATGCACAGCACGGTGCTCTCTATACAGATGCTATAACTTTTGTTGTATATATGCCCCGATGGTAAAGTTTAACTAATATGTTAGGCACAGTAAAAGATAATGATATCATGAATAAAATTATTGCAGCCATTTACTATAATAAAAGTGGTCTCTCTCAAAATGTATTATTTTGTATTGTGTTGTTTTGTATTTTTGAACTGTGATTGCCTGCAGGAAGACAAACAAACAAACAAACAAACAAACAAACAAACAAACAAACCAAAACATGAGACACAGAGAGGCAGATAAAGGAGAGCTATAGTAACTCACCTAAATGCCCAGACCACTGGGGAATTCATCATCTTATGGATAATTAAGTTTCCCTGAGAGTAAAAGTTGTGGCAGGTATGTGTGCATGCATGTACATACGTACATATGTATGTATGTATTATTTTGGTGTATATGTACACACATGTGTGAAGCACAGAGGCCAGAGGTTCAATTTCTTTCTCCATTGATTTTTCAATTATATTTTTGTCTTGGAAACTGGAAATGCTGAATTTTTATTCTGTTTACTTTAGTAACTAAGTTGTAATACAATAAAAAAAAGAAAAGTGCAGCCAGTGCACTTTTAGTGCTTGCCTTTAATCTCAGCACTCAGGAGGCAGAAACAGGCAGATCTCTGTGATTCTGAGGCCAGCCTGGTCTACAAGAGCTAGTTCCAGGACAAGCTCCAAAGCTACAGAGAAATCCTGCCTTAGGAAAAAAAAAAAGGAAAATACCTAATTGAACCTGGAAATAACCGGTGCCTTATATTGGTGCCTTATATTAGAGCACACTGCATCAACAGTGAAGTTGGATAATAGTTGCTGATAACAATTCTGAGTAAATTAGGTGTGATTCTCGACTGCAGATTCAAGACAGGTGCTTTTGCCATTACTGGCTCTTGGGGAGAAGACATTGTAGAAAAATACCCGGTCTATAGAATTTTCTTACAGTCGTTTCTACCCATGCCCACCATGTTCTTAATTATACTTACTATGGACCTTCTGCTAAGTTGATCTCTCCATTTTTCAACTAAACAATTTTCAAGAAGCATCATCCTGGGGAAAAAAGTAAATTTCTTGGCAATTAAATTTATTTTATAAAAGTAAAACACTTACCAAGGTATAAAATCATACTTGTTTTCATATAACTCTTATCCCCATAACCTGTATGTCTACTATTAATAATTTATGATTTTCCTTGTTCCTGTATGTTTTTGTGGTCACACTGCATATGTAAACCATTCTTTACATTTCTTTTCATTGTTATAGTTGTTTCCTGGGATGATTAGAAAACATAAAATAAACTATAATTTATATATAGTACAACTATGGATACCTACTTAGCTGTTCTCTGCTTCCATTTGTTTATATCCCATCACTCACTCTTACTGTGTTGAATATCCTTGCACAGAATACTGTGCACTGGCTCACTGCTTCCATTAGACGGGTTCTGAAATTAGAATGCTGGGCCAAACGGGCCTTTTATTATGTTTTTAGAGGTGGTACAATTGTTAAGAGAACCAACTTCTCTTGCAGAGGATCTGAGATCAGTCCCCAGCACAACACAGAGGCCAACAATCAGCCGCTGACTCCAGTTCCAAAGAATGCAACACCCTATTCTGCTCCCCCATGGGAATGGTACACACATGATGCACGGACATGCATGTGGCAGAACAGCCAGACACACAAAGTAAAAATAAAAAGGGTTTTCAATAGAGTACCAATTATTTAAAATGTGGCCTCTTTTTCATCTAATTCACTAACATTAAAATACTAATTAAAAGTAGAATCTTCTGCTTATTTGAACTTGGGAAATACAAAGGTAAATTTTAATGTTTATTTACTGTTTGTACTTATGGAAATTTTCTTCATAGATTTATGCGCACATTTATGCGGTGTGTTCTTAACACTTTAACTGGTCATTTTAGGGAATAATATCTCCATTTTCATCATATCCATTACAGAGGCATGCCCTTTTCTACTTGGGTTTGTGACTATTGTACACAACATTTCGTCCAGTCACAATGTGCACTGACATTTTCCCATGCAATTCCTTGCATTGGTTTTGTGCTTATCTTGCATTTTATTTGCCGTATTCCTAATCAACCAATTTTGTCCTTTTTGACCACGGGTTTTAAAATGTTCACCGATTTAATGCATTTTAAACGTGCTTCTTAATACAGTGAAAAACAGACTATTTTTCTAAATAAATAAATTTTTAACTAATGCATTTATATGCTACTGTTTTATAACATTTCCATCATAAAATATTCTTTTATTTGTTATAATTGTTTTCAGGAATATTTCCATTAGCTGGGTCTGTTTCTCACAGGCCATAACTCCTGCCATTTGGAACTGAGACTGATGGAGGAAGGTTGTAAGTCTGAGGTCTGCCTGGGCTATAGAATGATCTCAAGGTCAGCCTATATGACAGTGTCTTAAAATATAAAGCAAACTGGGGGTTGAAGGCTTAACTATGTAATAGAGAACTTGGCTCACTGAGCACTCAAGGCCCTAGGTACACTCCTCAGCAATGAAGATAAATAAAATAAAGAATTTCCTTTGCTTTATCTGTATGTCTGTCCTTAAACTACATGGTTTCAAAAAGAGTAGCTTTATGCCAGCTCTGTATCTCTTCACAAGGTAGATCTCTAATTACTTTTAAAATCTTCTTTACAAAAATCCCAGTCATCTGAAAATAGTTGCACTGGATGAGTCTACAGTCCGCTCATGTGCTCAGAAAGAACTGAATGACTAATAACACAGCATGTCCTCAACTGAACCCTGCTGTGCTAAACTTAATGAAGAGTCGAAGCACTGGCCACTGCTTGAGAGTGTAAGGAGAAGAATGGTTTGAAAGCTGAGAGCGTGCAGCCCTACGGCAGGGGAATCAACAACTGATGGAATACACAACTGTGCACTGAAATTATGGCATTTTCAAAAGATGCATTTGCTTTTCAACTTTAGAGGAATGGACTCCTAGGCTTTATCAAAAAGCAACATATAAGCATGAATGCCAGAGAGTGAAAAGTGGGGCGGGGCTTGTTATATAAAAAGGTGTGCTTTTCCTAAATAAAATTACTGTAAGTTATGGGTCTGTCATGGGACAAGAACTGAAAAGTTCACCTCTGTATTCTAGGAAGTGTACCGATGTATGAAAAAACAAATATGGAAAGAACTGAGCAGATGAGCACTCCCCAGTAGAGATGTGTGTGTGTGTGTGTGTGTGTGTGTTCAACTAGGCTTTGCTTTGTAATGACTGGATTTGACAACATTATATATTTTCAGATTCAGAAATAATCTTAAAGTTTCTACGTGTGCACGTGTGTGTGCAAAGTTCTACGAAAGGGACTTGAAGTTGTATAGCAGGAAACACGTAGAACTTTTTAGGCTAGCATAACTGCGAGGTAGCCTCTAAGCACTGGACAGAACGTGAAAATTCAGACCTTTTCATGCTCTTGCTGAGAATAATTTACTTGTTGATGTATTTTAAATCACCTAATGATTTAATTAATTAATAATTGATTCTGAAATAATAGGCTTTTAAAGGTAAGGTTCTATTTAAATATTTTTCTAGATTTCTCTCATTCTATTACCTGGACATTTAGAATATTCAAGATATTGAATAAAATTATGTTCAGGAAACACAGCATCCCAAAAGAGACATCGACTAAAATGTTCTTTAGATGACAACAGGCGTTGTTTTGTGCTGGGCGGGATTCGCGCTCCACGCACAGCTCCCCTGCCCCCGGGAACCTACCGTGAGCGCCACTCGTAGCACATGATGAGGACGTCTTGATGGGGCAGGATGTGTGGACACTGGCAGGAGGAATTCGTGATGAGGGGGACTTGGGTTCGAGGTATGGGTGAGGACGACTTGAAGATCTCTTTCACATCCACCACGGTGGTTACTTCGTTGCAACCACTCCTCTGGATGGCTTTTATTTTGGCATGAATAACTGCAATTTAAAACTCAAGTAACTGTTGTTATCGAAGTCTTTGGGGGAAGCAGACAGTGCTTTAGGGCCGAATCCAGAGCCTCTCTTAAAGCGCTGACTCCTGTCATTATGGTCATGTCCGAGCAGCCCCGGTGCAGGCAGAAAGCCCACGCTGCTACATGCAAAGCATCCTGTTTTGCCAGCCTTCTCTTGAAATTCATGAATCACATCACAAAATGAAAGAAAGGGGAAATCAGAAGGCCAGCATTAGCCTGGACTCACAGGTTTACCAAAACTTGCATGTAAATATTTTTATCTGTTTCTACTTTCCCTCTTATGAGTTGGAGGATGACCATATGACCTGATCTGGAAGGCAGGATAAACCTTGTGTTCCTTCAGTCACTCATCTTATATCTGACTTTCTTTTTACAGAAAAAACATTAATCATAACTTCCAGGTCCCCACAGAATGCTGGCTTTTCTCTAACCACCAAAAAAATCCTCCTACCGTCCAGGTTGAACTCATGTCTGAATATTTAGACAGCCTGTGACCTAACATGAACAGTGTCCAACTGTAAGGCGTCTCTGAAAGCTGCCGCTCTCCGTTCATCAATGTCACGAACTGACGGTGAAGGCCCAGGGCGAGTGGACATGAGATTGTTATTACAGGTGGACATTCAGGTCATCACCTTGGTCGAGTTTTAAGTTTCAGATTCGTTGGATCCTTGCTACTTAGTATTCTAGCGGAGTCGCTGATCAGCCCAACACAAGTCTGTTTTGAATTCCACCCTAGGAAGCTGGCCTAAGGAGGATCCAAATGTGTATCAACTGAGCAGTTCATCGCCAAGGGGGAACTAAAATTTGGCACCCCAGAGATAATGGTAGCAGAGGTTAGATAGCTCTGGGTAGACCCAGACAAAGAACAAAGCAGACGAGATTAAGACAACATCTTCATGGAACACATTTCAAGAAGAAAAAAAGCCAACCTACTCAAAAAAAAAAAAAAAAAAAAGAAAAAAGAAAAAAAAAGAAATTTTCTGTTGCTGAGTTGTCCATTTTTTTTTTTTGACTCTCAAATCGGACAGCTGAACTGCAGGTTATTTTTCCGAGTTCTGTACCTCCCTACTTTCTTACATGGTAAATAATCGAAAGCTTCTTACTGAGACACAATTTCCTTTAAAATATGAAAACCAAGCTGACAAAGAAACTACTTTACCTGTTATTTCTTTGTTCTTGTTATTTTAGGAGAAATAATTTAAGAATTGCAACAAAAGATTAAATAACCCAAGGACACACTCGATTTGTTTTTATTTTTTCTTCTTTTCGTGTGTGTGTGTGTGTGTGTGTGTCACATGTAGGTGGGTGCATGTACGTGCTGGTGCAAACAATTGAATTGCCTCAGATCTCAAGTACATATCTTAAAAGAACACAACTAAATGTAATTGCAAGTGATGAGAGGAGAATTAAAAATACTTAAAACTTTGAAAATACCATCATTGATTTGTTTTTCCTTTGGAGGAAGTACTACATGGTTTGTTCAAGTAAAAGAGAGGAGTGTTAAGTGTCTGCAGCTATTGATGAGGAAAAAGCCACACAGTTAGCTCTTCGTCCTCTGACCTTCAGATAATCAAATCCTGCTGGACACCCTCATCCTTCCTATAGTGACACAACTGAGAAAGAGAAGAGTGACCCCCCTCCCTGCCACTTTCTGCACAGCAGAAACGGTCACTGAGACCATTTTTATGTGAGTGATTTATTTTGTTTTTGTTTTTTCCTTTGATGTACCCAGAAGAGCAAGAAGCTTTATAGTTGTTGTTGAAAGTTCCAGAAACCATATAATTAACAACCACAACAGCAAGAAAACCCATCGTTTCTCTTTCCTTGACTAGTACATTGATTCAGCCTGATGTGATTCCAGTGCCTTGGTGTGTGTGCCAAGTCCCCAGAGCAAACGGCGTTATCAGAAGACTTACCATAGCTGTAGTTTTTGCTCAGGTATGTTGCCAAAGTCGGCTTCACCTTTTTGCACTTGCACCGGTCTAAAAGAGACATAAAATACATGGGAAGTGGGGAAGAAACATCACTCAGGGAAGAAAGCAGGGGGTGCCTGAGGTGGGGACTCACCAGGGCTCAGACGTTTACAGTCAGCATCAAAAGGCCTCTCCTGCATCATCATGTCTGGTGTGATGTCTATCCACTTCACATCTGAAACACAAACAGGGCCGCGGGGTGTAGTCAACGACTGTGTCCCCTAATCCAGATTGCATAAGGGATCCTCAGAAGCTACAAGCCAACACAAATGCCCAACACAATGTTACCACTGTAAAAAAATAATGTGATTGTCACCTACTTTGCTCATGACACTCAGGCTTAAGATTCTGTGAGTCAAGAATCTGCTGACTCAAGCAGAACTTGATGTGAATGAACATCCATGACACCGACCTGTGTCAATCTCACCCACCCCAGCCATCCCAATAGTGTTGCTCCAAGTTGACAAGTTGGCGGTTCTCCTAGCAGAACAACCAGTCTATTCCCGCGTTGCCACCTCTAACTGCCATGCAGAAACAATCCGAAGTTGCATTGCCCAAACTAAACATAACTCCCAGGCATTTATGAGATTTAAGCAGTTGTCTAATTTAAATTTTTTTCCTCATATTCTCAGTAAGACAGGAGTTTAAAACAAGGCTCATAAACCACGCCACGCCAGCCCCCTTGATTCACATTCTGGACCGGGTCTCTTTTAATAGCTCCGATCTGACTTAGGAGAAGCCTCCATAAAATAATGCAACACGGTTCTCAGGTTTCATTCAAGACGTGAATTCCGAGTGCTCCTTCCAACAAAACCAGTAAAACAGCAGGGGTGGGGAGAGCAGGAAGTGACACAGTGGTCGGATTTGTCAATGCCGCAGTGCTGGGCTCAGTGACCACAACATAGAAGCAGAGTGGAGTTTATCCAATTTACAGGGCGACTACGTTTACAAACTTTGCTCCTCGCGGGGATTGAGAACGACTATTGCTCTTTGAGAAAAAAAACTTCCACCCAGCACTAAATGAGTGTGTTAACCACCACATAGTGGGACTGATTCAAGCCTTAGGTAAGGTGAAGGATAGGGGTTTAACACCCTGACAATTGTTTCTGCATCTCCCTTAAATAAAAACGCCTAAATGGTTTACCCCCAAGCAGTCTTATTCCCTGTGTCCTTCAAGGAGCTCGGGCACATCTCCCTGCCTTGAGGAATCTCTGCAAAGTAATCTTCCCTACCTTCCACCGTCCTCAAGGCTCAGCGAACAGTGACGGTACAGGAACTGGTCAGCTGTACGTGAGGCCGCCTAGTTCTCACTTGATTGCGTCGACCCCTGGACTCTCTCGGCCCCCGGGGGTACCTCCTCTTGCCTTACCTTCTGGAAGGTCCGTGACTATAGCCTCGGGAGAGATGCACACTCCGCGGTCATAGACGGGTAGCTCGTCGCAGGCCAGGCTCTCCGGCCAGCTGTGGTTGTACATCTTCATGAGAGGCTCACAGTCGTCGCGTGCGCGCTGGCACACAGACTTGCAGGGCTTAATGGGGTCGTGCAGGAACTCCAGGGTACAGATGGGTGCGTACATGGCGCAGAGGAAGAAGCGCAGCACAGAGCTGCAGTTCACATCCACCAGCTCCTCGTACTGCTCGATGGCCAGGATGGCGTTCTCCTGCGTGCTGTGGTGCAGGTGGTTGGGCATCCGGGTGATGTTCCAGGGCATGTGCCGGCACATGGGGATGCGCACAGCCTCGCAGGGGGCGCCCCGTACGCCCAGCGCCAGGCGCAGCCACAGGCACAAAGCCACCAGGATGGAGAGGAGCATGGCACTGTCCTCCCGCGCTGCTGCTGGCAGGAAGGGCCCTTCTCTTCCAGTCCCCCTGCTCTCCCTCTTTACCTAGGAGCAGCGGGTGAGCTTTCCTGCAGGTCCCCACTGATGGATAGTTCTGGGGTTTGGCCGCCAATAGCCCCTGGGCGCAGAGAGCACCAGTAGCGCCAGCGTTCAACCTCCGGAGCACCGACCCGCGCCGGAAGCTCCAGTCTCGGACCCCGCAGCTCGGAGCGCAGCCGGACACGGCCATTGCGGGACCCTATTTATCCAGACTCGTCCCCTGACGTGGGCTCAGCTGCCTTGGCAGCTGTGAGCGCAGAGTCGGCTCCCAACTTCGCTGCTCCACCCCCTGCCTCTCGTGCAGAAGCGGTGACATCATCTCTGCCACTGGGCAGCCATTCCCCCAAAGTCCCTCCCTTTTTAGAGTGGCTAGTCCCTTTTTCTTCAGATCAAGAAAATGAACATCTTGTATTCAGTCATTTGTGACACTCGGTACAAGACGCTGCAGGAAAGACTTTAAAGAGAGGGTTTTTTTTTTTTTCTCTCTTTAAAGTAAAGGCTCAGTCGGCCTTAAAGTTTCCCTAAGTATAGAACTGGAGCCACGTGACCCTGCTATCGCCCTTTAATTTAGAAACTTTTGCTTTTCCTTTCCGATAGGGGGCGAGAGTGGTGGGAGCAGTGTGGACCCTAGAAAGCCCAGCTAAGTAGGTGTTGGAACCAGCACCAAGGGACAGTTTATATAAGCCTCCCCGAGCCCGCCCCCGTTGTGTGGGGTTTCTTGTTGCTGTTGTTGCTACTGAAGTTCTTCTGTGGCCTCTGGACTTAGTTCTGGCTCAAGTTTTACCAGCCATTTGGTTTGTGCGTGCTCCAGGATCTCAGAACTGCCCAGGGATGCAAGAGCATCCTTGGGGTGGAGAAGTTTCTCTGCTTGCTTGCTTCCTCTAAATACTAATTCCTGAGCCCAACAGGAGTGGAAGCCAGGAGAAAACAGAGCCAACCTGAGACACCACATTTTCCCAATCCAACAGTCTGGTCTTTTATAAACTATAGACTATTTTCCTTGAGTAAGAATCCACTAGCTTTGGAAAGCAAGTGTTCGGGTTGGGTTTACTTTCTCTCTTATTTGCATGAGAAAGGCAGCAAAGTCAACACTGGTCTCACTATTCCCAGAAAAGAGGTGTTACTTATGCAAGCTTCTATCAAATGTCTGCCAGTCAGACAGCGAGGCTTCTGGTGTAAATTTGCTATCCCCACGAACAAGAAGAAAACATGGTTCCTGGATCTTAATCCAGGTTTAAGGACTTTTTTTTCCCCTCTTCAAAGCTGAGACTTGAGTTAGCTTAGCCGTAAATCTGGCTGAGGATTAAAACAGCTGGGCAAAATGGAACAAAACAAAACAACCACTTTTGTCCTCTTCATTGGGTAAGGTGTGGGGATAAGTACTTTCAAGCCATTAATTCACCTTAGCGTTCTGACACTGTTTGGATGCTGCCGCAGCATTCCTTCAGGCCAATCGAAATAGGTATTCTGGTTTCCTCCAGAATGGGTCTCTAGTTCCAGAGATGCCAAACCATGCCAGGAAAATATCAAGCAGAGGGGGTGGCCCAAACAACATCTCAAGACTTTTCCAGTGGTGAAATCTCACATTTAAACCCTTCACTGAGCTACCAAGTTTTCATGTTAACTTCCTAACGGGAGCAAGAGACTCAGGACTTCCCACCACTTTCCTCTGAGCTGTCAGGGGATGGCACCCTTGGGGAGGGCTCACTCTTAGGCAGCCAATTCGAACTTGTTGCATATTTAACTATGCAGGCAGCTCACCACCTCACCTCAAGGTTTCATGGGCTTCCCTGATGTTATCGGATTGCCTATTCTTTAATAAAGAGAGACTGGGAGTGTAGTTCCGAGGTAGAATACTTACGGAGCATGGGTGAGGCCCCAGGTTCTTCCCAACCCGGAAAGAACAAGAAGAGATGTTAAGACAAGCATTTGGGGCAGAGGGATAGAGACAGATCTTATTGCTGAGCTGGCCCCTAGTTCACCCTCAGCCTGGGGGAAGCTGTCGTCAATGCTGCCTGCAACCCTATCAGGCCAACTGACAGTCTGTCCCTTGTGTTTTTTAGACGGTGTGAAAATAGAGTGAAGGGACTCAGGACACTGTCAAATGTTCTTTCTGTTTTCCTGCCTTCCAAAAAGGCTGTGATTCTAGTTCTAGCGCTAAAGCCATTGTTTTCCAGCTGAGTTATTCTCTGGGGTGACTCTCTGCTGATCCCTCTGGGTTCCCTTCTTTTCCCTCCTAAATGCCTGCTGCTCTCCCGGACCCTTTCTCACTCCTATCTCTCCACTCTACCAGGTTTCCTCAACCGTGGTACTTCTGAATCTCAGGACTGTAGAGTTCTTTTGGCAAATGTCCCCTGGAGAGGGGGAGGCTGGAACCATCTACCCACCCACCTCAAGTCATAGGAAGCCCTCTGATGGGGAACCTCTTTCAGCCAATGGCCTTTGAAAGGTTGGACCAGATTGAGGTTTGACTTTGGATACCAAAAAGCCGAGGTCCCGCTCTCTTGACCCTCTCTTCCCTCTCTCCACACCTGGATGTAGGACACCCTTTCCTGTTTTGTAAGTTTCCCTTTTAATAGAGAAAAACCTTACTATTCTCTATTTGGAGCTAATGTGGGATTATTTAATTCACACCCCCCCATTTGCTTTATCTGGCGCCCACGTGGGAAAGTGTCCACGTTTACCGGGGATCATGCTCCTGGTTTGCCAGCCTGGCTTGCCTGACCTGCTGGGGGGGCCCATCTCGGGAGGGCTCACTCTTAGGCAGCCCTCACTCAGGAACACCCTAAACCACTTCCTACTCGCTCACTCCTCAACATATTTACTATTCAGTGCAAATGTAAACCAAACTGTAAAGCAAGGGCCTTTAAAAGAAAACGGTCTCCTCACGACTTGATTATATAGTATTAATCCTAACATTACTTAAACACAAACCCAGTTTGTTCACACAGATTTAGACCCTAAGATACACAAACCTCTAGACTCGAAGCTTTGCCATGCAGGAACAGAGAACAGTCTCACTGAATTGTGACTTCGAGGCAATGTAAAGGCCTCGAGACTGGGAACTGCCCCCGCGACCACTTGTGTCATTTCTTCAGGACCCATCACGACACTTAAAATTTGTTTTAAAAAAACAAAACAACAACAAAAAATCAGGTCGCAGTTTTGCCATAAACAAATTACAGAGGCCAGAGAAAGTGCTACACCCCTGCTTTTCTCCTGGACCCGGTAAGATTGCCCCACCGAGGCTTTGCGGGTCGAATGCTACACCTCTTGGAGAAATGTGTCTCTGCTCAATTCATTCCCGCTTCTCCGCCCCAAACCTTTTATATCGCAATGCCCTTCAGGATGCTGGTGGCAACACTGCCGCTGCGTTTCCTGTTGGCAGCAGAGAGCAGTGAAAACAAGCTTTAGTGAGCAGCCGCCAAGGCAGAAAGAGCTCCTGGGCGATTCACGCGGCTTTCCCAGGCCGGCTTTCTGAGCCTCTCGAACGGAAAAGCGGGAGAGGCCACCGCTCCCGAGCCCGGCGTCCAGGAGCTCACCTTCCGCCCAGCGCGGAGAGAACGCGCAGCGCACCCACGCCCGGCCTCCGCGCTCTCTTGGGCTCGGCTGACCCCGGGGCTGCCGATCGTGATGCACGCACACGCTTCCCGCCGGGTGGTCCGGGGGCCTCGGGGCGCCTGGCTGCTGGGTGGCCTCTGGGTCTGGGCGCTGTGCGGCCTGTGCGGCCTGGGGACAGCAAGCTCACCGGGGACCCCGCAGCCTTGCCAGGCGCCCCAGCAGTGGGAGGGACGCCAGGTTCTGTACCAGCAGAGCAGCGGGCACAACAGCCGCGCCCTGCTGTCCTACGATGGGCTCAACCAGCGCGTGCGGGTGCTGGACGAGAGGAAGGCGCTGATCCCCTGCAAGAGGTAGGCGGCGTGGAAGGGCATGGCGGCGGCCAGGGGAAGCCAGGTCAAAGCGCGTGGCACCCCAGCTAGACCTCCAGCCGCGACTGGTCCCTCCCGACCCCCAAGAACTTTACAGGGGCTCTTGGGGGCGGCGATGCAGAGGCGGGCAAAGAAAGGATTCACCAAGGGCAGGATGGAACAGCCAGACACCCAACTTAGCCCCAAGTCTTCCCTGCTGAGTCAGGCTCCTGGCACCTGGAGCCCCCTGCAGCCTAGGGCGTGTTTTTTCTAGAAGTCGCCTTCAAGGGAGACACAAAATATACTCTAACAATTTTGTTTACAATTATAAAACTTGTGTGTGTGTGCATGTGCATGCGTGTGTGCGTCCGTGTGTGTCCATGTGGAGGCCAAGGGACAACTTACCAAGTCAGTTTTCTCCCTCCTTCCACCATGTGGCTCATAGGACAGCACTGTTAAAGGAGGAAGGAAATGATTTTTAAAAGTCGTATACAAACTCCTTACCCCATTACAACATTAACATTTTTGTTTAAACCTTGAGGATTTTATCTTTTGGAAAAACTAGCTAAAACTCCCATTAGAGCAAGGTAATGTCACTTTAAATCTACCATTAGATACATGTATTAATACATGTTAACTGGGGTGCTAAACCTCTCATTAGAGCATAGGTACTGACTGCCCCCTTAAATTCCAACTAGACACAAGTACTAACATCCGAATCCTCCTTTCGCCTATCTTCTTCTCTTGTCCCTGTTTTTAATGACCACGCCAACTGTAAAATGGGAGGGCATGTTATCACACACATGCTCACATACACACATGTGCACATGCACACAAAGACGCCCTTGACAGTGTATCTTTCCATTTTGTGATGACAGACGACACACTTTTCCTGGGGTGTCACCTTCTTTCTGGCCCCTTTAAGGCCCAGTTTCTAATTTAAGATCGCCACCTGTCTCCCTGCCCCCACCCTCTGCTGTCTCCCAGCATGCTTCAGGTGGCCATGCTGGCGTCTCCTCGTGGCATTTGTG